TTCGGGAGGGTGCCTGTTGAGGAGCGGGTGTGGTTGTTGTCACAGAGGCTGGTGAGTAGACTGGCGGTGGTGGACACGGAAGGAAATGAGTAGGAGCACTTGGGTTGGGAGATTGTGTAGAATGGTACACCGAAGAACCTGGGCCAACAAAGCGGCTGCGTTGGCGGCCTGCTGGAGGGTTCCCGCTGGGGCGCTGCAGACGTGCACGCTCATCATGTGGACTCGTGTATGCAGTAAACGAGAGATGGGGGGACCATGATGAATACAGCGTGTTATTCATATGTATGTATGCATGGATATAGGTATGTATGTATATATATACATATGTAAGACTGCATTGGCGCTTCGCGCCATGAGCCTTAGTCCATCGCTTCGAGCATGCAGGCAACATGAGAGAGAGGCAGATCAATTAAAACAGCGACCGTTGTTGGTTGCAGTTTTCGCCGTCACCGTTACACTGTTGTTCCTTATTCTTCTTCTTCTTCTTCTTCTTCTTCCCTCATGTGTCCTCCTCTTCCTCTTCCGCGTTCTCGCCTTCATTGCCCCGCGAACTCTTCCCCGTCCTCCTCAGATTTGTTTGCGGAGGATCCTCCGAGGCGAGCTTCTGGAGGTCCTCGCGAAAGCTTTTTAGGAGCTCTTTGGGCGCCTCTGGGGATGTCCCTGGCGCCTTTTGGTTGCCTCTGGGGTGGATGCTCGGGCCACCATGCCGCGAACCGTGGTCTCGGGTCACAGTTTGCATGCTTCCGGAGGGCGTCTTGGGGCCATTTAGGCCCGTCATGGGGCCTCCCGTGGCCGGTTTCTTAGCCCTCTTGGCCCGTCTTGAGGCTCTCTTGGACGGTCAGGCATCCTTTGTTGGTCGTCGTGGAGCGGTTGTCCGTGCCTCCTCGGCGTACTCGGACGCCCGGAAGACCGAATGCCCGAACAGTCCAGAATCATGCAAAAACCCATGGGCAGCAATGAACGTTTTCTGCGTTTCGAAAGCCTCTCGAGGATGATATTTGGGCCGTCTCCGGGCGCCTGGCGGGAGCGGGGCCGCTAGAGTTGTGGAAGTCTATTAATGGAGAGGAAGCATGCTGCCAAATAATTTCCAGATGTCTAAAGGATGTTTCAAACATGTTTTATCTTTAAAAAATGTTTGAAACATTTTTGAACATGCTTTACACATTTTGAGCACATTCTTAATTCAATGATCGAACCCTGTGGCCCAAGATGCCCCCCAGACCCCCCGAAATTAACATTGATGGCGTGGCGACGGGGGGGCGTGAGTGGACAGAAATACTCGAACCCCAAAGCGCCGCCTTTACTGAGATCAACATTGATGTCGGGGGCGGGGGGGTGATTTAGAATCTCCCTCGAATTTGTAAGGGTTCGAATCTATGGTCCATATTTTGGAGAACGTGCATTTTCATCTTGGATGCACACAGAAACGCCCGATCCACCGCAGAGCGGCTGGCTGGTATTCCTGCCTCTAGGGCCCATCTTGGAGGCTTATTTTGGGGCATCTTGGATCCTCGCTGTGCCATCCTGGACGTTCAGGGCTGCATTTTCGGGCCTTTCGGGGCCTCCTGCGCTGTCTAGTGCAATCTCGGGGGCTCTGGGGGCCATCGTGAAGCGATCTTGGGACATTTCAGGCGCAAAGAGTGGGACATACAAATCAAGTGAAGCATACACCCTTGTCTGTTTACATCAACCCCACTACGTAGAGACATATTGGGGCCATCTTCAGCAGTCTTTGGCTGTCGAGGCCCTCTTCGGGGGAGCCTTTTGGCCGTCTGGTAGCGCCCGCAAGAGAACCCCAGAGCTACCCGGAGCGGCCAGGAGGCTGAGGCGCACCCCCGCAGGTGGCTTTCCTGGGGCCGCAAGTAAAAATGGCACTGCAACAACAAGAACATGCAGCAGTCCATCAGGTCTTTCGCAGCCCTGCGCCCCTAAGGGGGGAGGCGGGCTTAATTATTATTTGAGGGAGAGAGAGAGAGAGAGAGAGAAAAACAAAAAAAAAGGGAGTCTTCTGAGTACGCCGGGGGAGTCAGAGTGAAGTCGGGGGGTAGGAGGGAGGTTGGGCGGTCCAAAGATCCCCTTGACTCGTTCTCCACTTTCGTGAGTCCCTGGGAGGTCTTGCGCAGTGATGCATTTGATTTGGGCCGTCTCCTTTTTCGCCTTCCTTTCTCGTGCTTCTTCCCATCCTCCAGTCTCCCTCCGTTTTCTCTCTCTTCCCTCCCCTCTAGTCCAGGCTTCCGCCTCCCTTGAGTCCAGCTCCCAATTTTCTCTTCGCACTCCTTCCTCGTCCTTCTTCGCCCTCCTTCTTCGTCCTTCTTCCCATCCTCCAGCCTCCCTCCATTCTCTCTCCTCGACAGCAACCGACGACGACGAGCACCACGACGGCGACGACGCACAGCGCTGGCAAACGACGACGAGGACAACGAGGACCACGACGACGACGACGATGACGACGACAACATCGACCACGACGACGACGACGACGACGACGACGACGACGACGACGACGACGACGACGACGACGACGACGACGACGACGACGACGACGGCGACGGCGACGACGACGACGACGACGACGACGACGACGACGAGCGGGGGGGAGTCGGACCCCCCCGACTTCTGGAAAGGGAGGCGAGGTGGGTCGGACCCTTCCCCCGATTTCGGAGGGAGATGGGGGTGGTTCCTCGCCGGGGATGTGGGGGGGTCTTGGTTCCGAAGAGTTGGGAGGGGAGGGGGATTTTCGAGGATGTGCCACACGCAGATCAAGATTAGACCTCGCCGCCCCCTGGTGGCTGCGAAGTGCGACATTGTCGCCACGTTCGTGGACTCCTGGGAGGTCCAGCGGAGTGATGTCATATGCAGATCCAGGTTATACCTCGACGTTCTCTTGGGGCGGCGAAGTGCGAAAGTGTTTCGTGCTCGTCTGGATGGCTCAGTGGAGTGGTGTCTTACGCAGACCCATATGAGACCTCGCCTTCCCCTGGAGCATGCCAACTGCGACTGCGTCGCCACACGACAGCCATGAACACGCGGACGCGGGGAGATAACCCTGGCCTCGGTGGGTGTGGGGGGGGGCGGGGGGGGGGGTGGAAGGGCGGGGGGTCCGAGTCTGATTATTTGAGTTTGACCCTTTGTCGGTGAAGGATCCAGGGCGTTCAGTTCAACATGGGGTGCATATTTGCTTGTGCGTTCTTCTTGGTGGAGTCCATATGGTGCAGTGTCGGTTGCATGATACATTTGGTGCAATATATCTCGTGCGACGCATGTAGTGCAATCTCTATCGTGCAATGATCGGCGTGGTGCAATTCACCCACAGCGCAACATCCGCGCGTGGCTATCCCCCATGCTCGTGCAATCATCTCACCCACCTGCCCGGAACTTGGTGGCAAAGCTCATATGGCCGTGGTATCGACGAGCGCACGGGCGCGTGGAACTCACCCGCGCAGACCAGTCCGTCCTCCAGGCCTCGAAGGGTTCGCGGCGATGGTGACAGGTGCGACGCCAACGGCGATGCCGATCACAGAGGTGGTGACGCTGATGCCGATGGCGATGACAGTGGAGATGGGGGTGATACGATGGCGACGATGATGATGATGGTGATGACAGTGATGGTGGTGAGAAAAAGAGCAGCGACGATGACGCTGGCGATGATGATGATGATGATGATGATGATGATGATGATGGTGATGATGATGATGATGATGATGGTGATGGTGATGATGATGATGATGATGATGATGATGATGATGATGATGATGATGATGATGATGGTAATGGTGATGGTGATGGTGATGTTGATATTGATGATGCTGATGGTGATGATGGTGATGGTGATGATGGTGATGGTGATGATGATGCTGATGATGCTGATGATGATGACAGTGATGATGGTGGTGGTGGTGATGGTGGTGGTGATGATGATGATGACGATTGTGTTGGTGATGGTGGCGAGGAAGTGTTCGCGCGCAGAAATTTGACGTGGGCGACGACTTAAGCGACGACAGCGGCGATGACGGTCCAGACGATGGTGATGATGATTGTGATGATGACGATTGCAGTGCTGCAGTTGATCATGATGATGCTGCTGCTGCTGATGATGATGTTGATGGTGACGACGATCGTTCTCATGAGGATGAAGAGAAAGTGCTCGCCCGCAGAAATCCAGGCACCGTGACATATTTTCATGGAACACCGCTAGGCTTCTTTATGTTGTTGAACACCTTTGTGCTGCAATAGTTGGGAAACAATGGTTTTGGAAGGATTTCGACGCACGCGTGCGGAGACGCGCGCGTGTGGGCCGCATTGTATTATTTGGCGGAGTTGCTGGGCGCGCGATGGGGGTTGGACATTCTTGACATGCATGCGCGCGCAAGTAACCCACGTGTACTCATAATGGTTAGCAACCATTCGTTTTCTTAACATCTCAGCGATTGCGCGCAAAACCCCGGGTGTTTCAAGTTTTTTTGTTCGCCGTGTTTTGATACTTGATCGAAACACGGTCGCGCGGCGACGCGCGCATGTACCTCGTAGTGCATGTCTTCGTTCAATGCATGTGCACCGCATCTTTTTCCGGATATCGCCTGGGGTGTCAATACCAGCCTGGCTGGCATGCTGGATTGGATGTTATTTGATATGTGGGGGGATCGGTCGTTGAATACAGAAAGTCGCCCTACGCTGAGAGGGGCCGTTAAAACCGGCTTCGGAGGGGTGGTATATGCCAACTCTCTCGGGAGAAGAGAGAAGCCCTGTGTGCACTCGGAGCCGCCAGCCAGCGCACGAGGCGCCCACGAGGCGTCCACGGGCGCCCCATCCAAAAGCCCCGAGTCGCTAGGCAGCGCAAGTCCGGGACCGCCAACCAGCGCGCAAGGCGCCAACGGGGCGGGGGAAAACACCACGAGACAACACAGAGTTGATGGTCGAGAGATATCTGAGGTGACCACAGTTTTGAAAGTTGCAAAGCTTGCCGAAGCTCTGAGCACTCTCATCATTGGGTTTTCTTGCGTAGCCTTTCCCATGCATTCTCGAGGTATGTCGCCCGTGAGCGTGCTACCGAACGCGTGTTCGAGAAAACAGCAAGCTCATTCTTGCAGTAAAAACTGCGCTTGGACATGCGGGAGGCCGAGGACAGTGAGGAGTCAGATCCACCTGAGGACGCCTCGGAAGGCCCGCACGTGCGGCTGCGGAAATGTCTATTTGCGTTTGGAGTCATCATTGGCTTTTTGTTCCCCGTTGCGATCGCAGTCGCAGCCTGGAATCTGATGGAGACCGGAGTGGCGTTTGACAGTGCGAGCGAGGCGACCGGAGGGCAGATTCGTGCCTTCCTCGTGGTGTGTCTTGCGGCGCCGATGCTGATACCGCTGGGCCTCCTCAGCCCAATGACGGGGGCACTAGTCCTTCACACGCCAGAAGCCCCCGTTGGTTTTTGGAAGGCTCTCCAGCGTGGCATCCTCAAGTTCAAGGTGTTGGCTGGCAGCATCCTGGTTTTCGCAATCACCTATTATTTCAACCTCCTGTTGGAATGGGATGTGCTGAAGCAGTTCTGGGCGCTGCAGAATCACTGCCAATATTTCTACCTCAAGCTTTGGGCGCTTGCGCTTTGTTCAATTGGCTCCGCGATCGTTGCCTTCTGGGACTTCCCTATTCCGATGCTTGGTGCTCGGCTGTTTTTAGCGTTTATCGCATTTTTCAAACTTCTACCTGCAGTCCTCCTCGCTATGGGCTTAGCTCTTTACGTCAATAATCCAAGTGAGGAGTGGCTCGAGTGGGGTCTCGCCCCATTCGAAAAGCTCCGGGCGTCATCACATTTTGTTGAAGTGTTCGTTTTAGCATTGCCCTCGATGCAAATTGAGATCGCCGCCTTGCTGTCAGGAACGCCAATAGACGATCGCAACGAACTGCTGCTCTCTTCGCTCATAAGCCTCATGACCGCCACGCATGCGTTTGCGTCAATGGATTTGAAAGGAATGGTTTTTCGCCGTGTTAGCGGCATTCCGACTGTTTGTGGCACAGCTGAGAGCATCTCTGTGGTTTTTATTTTGGTCTACAGTTTTAGATTTTGCAACATTGGGAGCCGTGTTCTTCTATTCCCACTTCTTCATATTACGTGCATGGAATATCATGTTGGAACTGTATTATTTGTTGGCGATCTCATCGCGCAGTGCTGGCTTATCTGGAGGGCGACACAGAGCACTCCCAAGCTCCTTTTTGCAGTTGCCAACGTGTTCTCAGTTACAGAACCATTGCTTCTTAGCGAAGGTTCAGTCTGCACAGTAAACGTGCGTTGCTGGTTATCTGTCCAGTTCGTTGAACTCTTTCTAGTTGTGGTTACACTTTGCTGCAAGCCAGCTCTTGTGGTGGAATTGTACGAATCAGACCAGTTGTTATGTTTGTTGTTTGTTGCCTTCTCTGTTTTGCAGTGGCCTCTGATCCTTGTTATCCGTTCAAGATTCGTTCACCGATTCGATGGTGCGGATGCAGAGCCAGTCATGGGTGCCATGGTCAATCTATTTTCACATGGATACGCTCGCACAAGGTGGGGACCTGATGCCGCCGATTGGAGATCGCCCATCGGACTTGCTCGGAACATGTGGTGGCCTTCGCTCAGAAACAAACAAGGAACGTGGAATGGCTCACTCCAACTGTTCGGGGATCTCGGCGTCAAAGTTGTTGCCCTGCTGTTTCAAAACGATCCGCATTGTAAGGAATTGTGGTTAGAGATGAATTCAATAGGTGACGAAGGTGCGAAGTACATTGCTGAGGCTCTGAAGCAGAACGAAGCACTGGAATGGTTGGATCTCGACCAGAATCTCATCACAGACGAAGGGGCCAAGGAGTTGCTGCACGCACTTGAAGAACGTCCCGTGCGTCTACACAAGCTCTGGTTGCGCGCAAATCCCATCCGTGACGAGCGCCTCAAAGTGGCGCTCGAGAGCCTCGTGTACGAGCTTCGCATAGGAGACTTGGACGACGAAGAGGGTGAGGATCACATGGGCACCGAGAGCGACAGTGACAGTGACGTCGAGTGGTGCCTCACTGGTGAGACGCCCTACTCTGGTCCCGTGGCGGCGACCTACGTCGATGCCTAGTTGAAGCAATTACCTGGTGTTCTTCCTTCCTCCCAGGCAGCAGGTTTTGACAGCCACGCTGCCACCCCATCTCTCGCAACTCGCACCCATTCAGATGCGAACCGATTTCTCCGCCAAGCTTTCCTCATTGTGTACGCTTTGTTGGCTCATCGTTTCGCGCTCCCGCTCGAAGTAGTCCTTTGGATTGTTTCATGCGATGAGCCTGCTTGGAAAAAGACACAAGGAGTGACTAACATTCTTTCGTCAGGTGCTACGTGACCTTGAGGAGCTCTGCGGCGCTTCTTGGCGGACGCTCCCGCGTGCCCAGCACTCACACGCTTCGGTCGTTTCTTGGCCTGAGTGGCGCTATTCAGACTTTTTAGATATTTAAACATGTTGGAAACATGTTTAGAACATGTTTGACACATTTTAGACACATGTTTAACTTAATGAGAGGATTGTTAGAGTGTCCATTGCCGTGGCATCCACAACAGCAGGGCGTGGCATCATACAAGTGCAAACCTCTTTGAAGTGGGGCCACAGGCCGCTGCACGGCACCCTGGTGAAGAGCCAACAGTCAAGGCAGTCAACGCAAGGCTGCCACTGCCCGCTCACTACACACATTCACAAACACATTCGCGATGCGTGGTAATACGCACACACGCACACACGCAACAAAGATGGGTGCCCCCTCCCTACCGCCCAGGCAATGCAGCCTCGGCACGCAGACCGCACGCATCGTCCCCAAGAGGGGCCAGGAGGTCCCAATGGAGCGCCCATACGGCCCGCGAATGGACCCATTGGCCGACAGGACTCCAAGACTGCCCACAAGTTTCATAGAGGCTCGTAGAAGAGCTCCAAGCGGCAGGAGACAGCAGCACGGAGCGGCAAACACCAGCAATCAGCAATACGCAGCAGCAGCAGCAAGCGGCAGCAACCAATGCCAAGCAGCAACAGGTGACCGCAAACAATCAGCAGCAGCAGCAGCAGCCCGCTCAAACAGCAACGTTTTACCGCTATTGGTCACGCGGTTTCTCATCCAGCACCCGCGCTCCCTAGCCTTGCAGTGCATACCCAGTACCAAGATGCAAGCGGCTCCTTTCTGCGAAACACCGCGGACAGCAGCAAACAGCTTCAACCAACATTGCGCAGCAGCACAAAGCAGCAGGCAGCATCAAGTGGCCGCAGACAAGGGCAATCAGCAGCAGCAGCAGCAGCAGCAGCAGCAGCATCAAGAAGCTCGGGCAGCAGCGCTGCCCGAGGCGACCCGCCCGGGGATCGTGGCCTCGGGAGTGCGGGCCCGTGGTCCTTTTGCGACGGGTCGTGGCCACACGGTGGCGGGCCCATCGCATGCCTTGTGTGTCCCTGGCTCCCCAGGGGGCTGAGGGAATGCGGGCCGGTGAGGAGAGTGGAGACGTTTCGGGCCCAGGGGGATCGCGCGCACGCGTAATTGATTGGAGCAAGTTCGCAATTCTGAGTAGTTCAGGCCCATCAGAAGTCAGTATTGCTAACTTGCGGAGTTGCCAAGCTTATTCAGATGACGTGATCTGCCAGGTTGCACTGATGAGGAGCGAGCGTGCTCAACTGCCGCAGCCTGTGCCGCGCAGCCTGGTGGCCCCCCCAAGGGAGGTTGGCGAATACAGTAAACGTTCGTCTGGGTGCTGGCTGGAGTGTCGACCCAGGGCCGTCACCTTCGGGATGCTGCGGTTGGCGTCCAGAGTGGACGCGCTGGCTCTGCCCACATCTGGGACCCCAGACGGGCCATCCCCCCCGGTTTGTCCTGCTATCCTTTTGTTGAAAATCCGTGTTGCGAAACCTTGTGTTTTTTTGTAGGGTTTTTGGACGCGCGATTTTGAAATCCTTCCGAAACCGATGGGTTTTGAAGGATTTCGGCATACGCGCGCAACGACGCGCGCGTCTGCACTCCGTCCTGTTTTTGCAGAGGGTTCTCGCGACGGCACACGCGCAAGGGCGTTCGACAGATTTCGACATGCGCGCACCCGAAGCCCGTTTGGTAGCATTTTGAAAACCCTCCAAGCGCCACCGACGTCGGGCATTTATTCCTGAGCGCACCTCCGTTTTCTTCGGTGACGGCGATTGCGGCGACGGCGACGGAGACATTGACGGGGACGGCGCGCCGACAGCGACGGGACCAGTCGGCGTCGGTGATTGCGGCAGTCGACGGGCCACAGCAGGGCTGGGCGGCAGCGGCGGCGGCGATGGAGCTGGCTGACCACGGCAACGGCTGAGGACGAGGACGTGGAGGTGCGTGAGGACTAGGAGGAGGACAAGGAGGTGGCATGCAGGGTAGGGGGAGGAGGAGGGGGAGGAGAAGGAGGAGGAGGAGGAGGAGGAGGAGGAGGAGGAGGAGGAGGAGGAGGAGGAGAAGGAAAAGATGAAGAGGACGAGGAGAAGGAGGGGGAGGAGGAGGGGGAGAAGGAGAAGGAGGAGGAGGAGCAGCAGGAGGAGGAGCAGGAGGAGGAGGAGGAGGAGGAGGAGGATGAGGACAACGACGACGACGACGACGACGACGACGACGACGACGACGACGACGACGACGACGACGAGGGAGGAGGGACAGGGGAAGGGTCACGTGGAGCGAGAGGGGGCGGCGCAGGCGGTGGCGGAGAAGGGCAGGGCACGGGTGCGCTGGTGGCGGGGCTGGACCAGCCGCGCCGGCGGACAAACCTCAACCAAACCTCGATGCTCGATCGATCCTCGATCCTCGGTCGAGCCTCGACCCTCGAGCAAGCCCCGATCCTCGGTCGAGCCTCGCTCCTCGCAGCTCGACGGAGCCTCGATCCTCAGCCTCTCGACGGAGCCTGGGCCCTCGACGGAGCCTCGCTTCTCGAGCCGAGGTCTGCGGGCCGAGGCCTCTCTCTCTCTCTCCTGTGCCTCGGCGTGGCGCCGGCGGCCTCGGCAGGGGCGCGCCCCCGCCGCGCCGCCGCGCGAGGAGTCGCAGGCACGGGCGGCGCAGCCCGGCGCCCCGGCCGAGGACCTCGGCATGCGGGCCGGACGGACGAGGGGGGAAGGGGGGGGGGAGGGGGGCGAGGGGGAAGCCGGCGAGGACGAGGACGAGGACGGGGGAGGAGGAAGACGAGGACGGGGGAGGAGGGAGGAGGAGGAGGAGGGAGGAGGAGAGGAGGAGGAGGAGGAGGAGGAGGAGGAGGAGAGGTGGAGGAGGAGGAGGAGGAGGCCCCCCCAGAGGCACTGGGGCCTCCGGCGCCCCAGGCCTCCCAGAGGGGGGTCGGCGTGGTGGGTCACCACCTGCCAAGCCAGTCCAACCCAACCCGAAGGCCTCAAGAGTTGCCCTCCGTTTCCAGCGGGGGGGGGGTCGGGGAGCATCGAACAGAAAATACATGGGGAAGTTGGGGGGGGGGAGGTCGGGGAGCATCGAACAAAAAATACGTGTGGAGCCCGTACCCCCCCCTTCCCCCAACCCGAAATTCGGGTCCTCGGGTTGGGTTGGGGTGAGCTGGTAGGCAGTCAGTCGGGGTCGGAGCATCGTGCCGCATCGCCGATGCGTCGGCGATGCGGCTCGACATGGCGCCCGGTTTTCTCCACGCCGACGGCGCCGATGCGTCGCCGACGTCGGCGATGCATCGCCGATGCATCGGCGATGCAGCGGTGATGCAGCGCGATCCTCTCGTCCCATCTATTCGGACCCCATTTGGGAGGACTCCAGACGTCGTGAATGAAATGAGGTGGATCTTTTCCGCCGTTTTCTGCGTCTGGGGGCCGCTGCGGAGGTTCATGCATCATGAATAAGCGGCCCTGGGCAAGGGGTCCGGACGTCTGGGGGACACCGTATTCAAAAAAGTCTCGACGGCGGAGGCTTAGTAAAATTGGGGCACCGTGTCCCAGATCTTCCATTTGACCTCACGTTTGTCAAGCGATCGTCGCATTCTTGAGCCAATCGACGCGCCCCTGACTGGCCTGCTCTGGCGGCGTTCGTCGGGAGGTACGCCGATCTCCCCGCTGAAGCAGTCGGGAGGCATTCCCCATGTAGATCTGAGAGGAGTCGCGCTTTGTCTGGCCATGCGTTCGGCCCCAGGGTGCGCCGCCGCCATGTGCCTCGATAGACCGCGCCAGCCCTCCAGTCCGCTTTGCGACCACGCGGTGTCTGCGCGCGTGTCTGTGCGAGAGTGTCTGTGCGCGTGTGCCTGTGAGTGTGCCTGCGTGAGATAGACAAACAAGAACAAAGAAGATAGCGACAGAAAGAAAGACTCGCAGTACAGCCGCGCGCACGCATCCCGCCCCCTCACCGGGGCCGTGCGGGGCGGGATGCTCCCGCGCGCGCTCGCGCGGCCCGCGGCCCCCGAGAGACGGTCGCTTCCTCGCCTCGACCCTCGAGCGGCCTCCCTCGGCAGCAGGGAGGTCGCCCCGCGCCGCCTCGGCGCAGCAGTGCCGCCCTGGAGCCTGGGCGATCGGAGGGCTCGCTCCGCGACCGGGGCAGCGCCCCGCGACTGGCCATCGGGCACGCGCGTCGCCGCCTCTGCGGCGGCGCAGCTGCGCCGCGTCAAGGGGGGGGCTCTCGCCGCGCGGTCCTCGCGCGGGCGTCTCGCTCTCCGCGGCTCGGGCGGCTCCTCGCCGTGCGGCGCGTCGCGGCGCGTGCGGCGGTGCAGCCGCGTCGCATCGGCGAGGGTCTCGCCGCGCGGCCTGCGCGCGGGGGCCCCGCTCCGTGCAAGGAATGATGCCTCGCTGCGCGGCGGGGCGCGTGCGCGAGGGTCTCGCGCTGGGCTGTCGCGCGCGCGTCGCATCGGCGGAGGTCTACGTCCCTCTTCGAAGTCAAGCGGGAGCTGTTCCCCCACCACGTGGCGGCCCCGCCAGACCCTCACTTTCAATGGTCGCGCCGAAACTCGCGACTGCAATGCTTGTTCGACCCCTCGGGCCGCGTTGCGCGCGTTGATCAGCATTGAAATTCTGGAGCGAGGGGATTTGATACAAGCTTGCGTTTGGTTTCGAGGACGGCTGTAGTGCCGCCCGCGATTTTCGCGCAGAGGCCTCGCTCTGCGATTAGCTTCGCGCGCCAGGGCGCCGTTCGCGGGGGGGGGGGGGCTTCAGGGCGTTCCTCGGGTGTCCTTAGGGGATGGCTGCTTTGTTATTGAAGTTTCTAGGCGTTCCCCTCAGATTCCAAACGAATTCATTCCTCCGCTTTCTTGGAGTTCTGAGTTCCCCTTGAATTTCCTCGGGGGCTTGCGTCTGATTCCTCATGTTCTCCTTGGAATTCAAGTAAGATCCCGTCTGCTGCCCAGGAGATCCTGCTGCGCTCCCCATGATAAAAGTAAACGCGTCTTTCTTGAGACTTCCCGTGGGGAAATTCGGCATCCCTAGGTTCCAGTGGGAATCCGAAACGCTGCCTCTCGAATCCTCCAGTGTTCCTCAGCGGGGAGGAACCCCAGACGAACCCATCCCGCTCGGGAGACCCACCAAGTAATACCCGCAAGGGGGGTCGGAAAACCCCAACAGAATGCTCAGCAGGCGGCGCCGTTCTACCCATCCAGAGGGCGTTCAGCCCTTTGGGTGAGTATCACGGCGGAGGAGGAGGAGGAGGAGGAGGAGGAGGAGGAGGAGGAGGAATGAGGAGGTTGTCCAGCCTGCGCGACGCACGTACAGATCAATTCAAGGCGTGGCCAGTCTTCCCGCGTCGCCTGGAGGCGGGATATAGCGACCTCACCCGCCCCGTCTCTCGGCTGGCGGTCCGCTGTGCGCGCCGACGAGCAGTCAGTCGCTCGCTCCCTGGCAGTCGTCGGCAGCAGTGCTTTTTTCATGGAGGGAGAGAGAGAGAGAATCGATATTGCGATTCACATTTGTTTATGTTCTATTCTAAATTGTAGATGTACGTGTAATTTTATATACCCACACATATATATATATACATATATATATATATACATATATATTCATATGTACACAGTATGTATATATATATATATATAGATATATACATACATACATACATACATACATACAAACAAACATACATACGTACGTACGTACGTACATACATAAATACATACATACATACATACATACATACATACATACATACATACATACATACATACATACATATATATGTCGGAGGTTAAGGGGTGGGATCGCAGTGGAACGGAGACCCCCAACCGGGAAATCGTCTCGTTTCGTTCGTGTCGTGCGTGCGGGCGAGGCGAAGCTGCGTGGGCGCGAGAGAGGATTGGACCCGCCGCTGCTGGGGCGAAGTCAAGACGCACGATTTTCCCCCGTCCTTCCGTCCGTCCGGCGGTGGCTCGCGGTGTCCCGCGGTGTCCCGTGGTGTCCCGTGGTGTCCCGTGGTGTCCCGTGGTGTCCGCCGTTGCTATGGCGAAGTCAAGACACATGATTCTCCCCCGTCCGTCCGTCCGTCCGTCCGTCCGGCGGTGGCTCGCGGTGTCCCGCGGTGTCCCGCGGTGTCCAGTGGTGTCCCATGGTGTCCCGTTGAGTGAGATCGATAGTGAGATCGATACTGAGATCGATGTTGAGATCGATGTGGTGCCCCGTGGTGTCCCGTGGTGTCCCAAAAAGTGAGATCGATAGTGAGATCGATAGTGAGATCGACAGGTGTCCCGTGGTGTCCCGTGGTGTCCCGTTGTCTGAGATCGGTAGTGAGATCGATAGTGAGATCGATACTGAGATCGATGTGGTGCCCCGAGGTGTCCCGCGGTGTCCCGTAGTGTCCGATGGTGTCCCGTTGAGTGAGATCGATAGTGAGATCGATAGTGAGACCGATAGTGAGACCGATAGTGAGATCGAGAGGTGTCCCGCGGTGTCCCGTGGTGTCCCGTGGTGTCCCGTTGAGTGAGATCGATATTGAGATCGACAAGTGTCCCGTGGAGTCCCGCTGTGTCCCGTTGTGTCCCGATGGTGTCCAGTTGAGTGAGATCGATAGTGAGATCGATTGAGTCAGATGTTGGTTCCCCCCCTCTCCCCCCCTACAACCTCCTCATCACCCGAACGGTGGTCGTATTGGTATATATATATATATATATATAAATGTGTATACAAACACATACATTATATAGTGTATATATATATGTGTATATACATATATATATATATGTGTGTGTATATATATATATATATATATATATGTATAGGCCGGGGACGCCGGAAACAGCTCATCCCTCCCCTAACGAATTTGGCCCTCCCTGGGCCTCCAGGCAACCCTTCAGACGACTCGGGAGAACCTCACGCGAGCCCGGAGACGGCCCCAGACAGGTTCCAGGCGTTCCGGCGCGCTCCCGAAACGACCCCAGAGGGCCCCAATACAGTCCCAAGAAGCCGTCATGCCCCCAAAGATCGCTCCAAAACGTCTCAAGTGGCCTCCAAGAGCACTCCCAAGAAGGCCACAAAAGGCAAAAATCATTGATTTTCTGTAAGTTTTTGCTGAATTTGGGGGTTCTCCTCGTTTCGGCTTCCCGACGCTCCAAGACGGCGGTCTTCTGGGCGTCCGAAGCCTCATGGGAGGCTCGAAAATCGCCCCACAACCATCCGAAAGGGCTTCCAGGCAGTCCAAGAGAGCCCCAAAAGGGCACAACAGCGGTCCAAGATGGCCCTCACAGAGCCCCATGGCGGCCCAAGATGGCCCCAAGACACTCTCCGATCCAAATCGTGACCTGGTCGTTCAGGGAGACCGCGGTTGGAGTTAGGGTGGCCCGAGGAAGCCCCTAGAGGCCCGGAGAACACGCCCAGGAGGCCTCCAGAAGGCCTTTAGAAAGCTTGAAAAACTGTTGTGAGGCCCCCAGAGGCTCTCCAAGGAGGAGCCTCCGCAAAAAGAGCAGAGGAGGATGGGGAGACTGCGCGGGGTATGGCGAGAATCAAGAAAAATAAGCATGGAGGAAGGATAACGAATAACATTATTATAACGGCGATGCCAGACAAGGCAACAAGGAGTAATCGCTAAATTGTCGGCTTGACCTTCCTGCCATACCGCCAGCATGCCAAACTTCAAGGACCAAGGTGCAGGGCGCGAAGCGCCACTGCAGTCTTGTGTATATTGATAAACTGGATCGACAAACAAAGCAGACACATTTTCTTCCGCCGGCCAGTTGACCCCACCGCAGCGAGTGATGGCAAGTGGCACCCAGCTAGACCATGAATTCCATCCAGCGTAGTAGATGGTGGCCTACAGGGCGAGTCGGCGTGCAAGGAACAGGGGCTAAACTTAGTGAGTGGGCGGGCGGGGCCTGCAAGGTGCAGAAAGAGAGAGAGAGAGAGAGAGCACACGCTCACACGTTACGGTCGGGAACTTTCGGATAGCGCGTCGCTGCGCTGGGTCTGGCCCACCGCGCGTCGGCGCGACACGCTAGCCACTTCGCGGTCTCCAGGCGTCAATGTCTGAGCCTTTCCCGACCTCCCGCTCCGCGGAGCGGAGCAACACGCTATCCGCTTACCAGGCGCAGTGCGAAGCAAACGTGCCCGACCGACCGTCGCCAGGCGAGGTGCCCAGCCCCATGCGGTTGCGTGCTGGCCAGGGCGTGCCCCTCTCTTCATAGAATTGCGCGCCGCGGGCGGTGCGGACGAGGGTGCCGCGGAGTTCAGCACGAAGAGGTGCGCTGAACTCCTTGAGGGGCGCGGTCCGCGCGAGGGGGCGGTCCACAAAGACACGGCGCGCTTCACAAGCCACCGCGCCGCCGCGGCACGCAGGGCCTCCCTGGGAGGGCAAACGGTGTGAAAGGGCCCCCCGCGCGAGCGCGTCCGCTGAGGCCACGTGTCCAGCTTTCTGCGTGGCGCTATCCGCGGGCGGTGCGCCGAGCTCGCTGGGTGCGCTGCAGGGGACTTTGGGGCCACTGGTCGAGCTCCCCACGAGGCACGATCCGCGCGAGGAGTGTGCCGAACTTGGCGGGTGGGGCGGCACGCGAACCCTGTCTTTGGGGCCGCAAGAGGAGGTTTCTGTGGGACACCATCCGCTTCAGAGGTGCGCCGAAATGTGCCGTGGGGCGGCATGCGAGCCCTGTTTCTGGAGTAGTAGGTGGAGCTTCCTGTGGAGCAAGATCCGTGTGATGGGTGCGCTGACATGAGCAGCGGGGCGGCATGCAAACCATGTCTCTGGATCCGTCGGAGACGCACTCGATGGGTTACGATCCGTGGGAACCGTGTGCCGACATACGTGGCGGGGCGGCATGCGAACCCTGTCTCCATGAGGCCGTAAGAAGAGTTCTCTATGGGACACGATCCGTGTGAGGCTTGCGCCAGCATGGGCTGTGGGGCGGCATGCGAACCCTGTCTGTGGGGGAGCTCCCCATGGGGCGCGGTCCGTGTCATGGGTGCGCCGAAATCAGCGGCGGGGCGGCACGCGAACCCTATCTCTGGGGCCGTAGGAGGATCGCTGGATGTGGCATGACACGTGGGAGGGGTGCGCCGAAATGAGCGGGTGAGGCGGCATGGGGATCATGTCGCTGGGGCCGTTGGTGAAGCTCCCTGTTGGGCACGACCCGCGTAAGGGGTGCGCCGAATTGGGCGGCATGCGAACCTTTCTTCTGGGGCAGCAGGTGGAGCTTTCTGTGGGGCGCGACCTTGTGATGGGTGTGCAGACATTGGCGGGGGGCGGCAGGCGACCCTGTTTCCCTGGTGCAGTAGGTGGAGCTCCCTGATGGGCACGAGCCAGGTGATGGGTGCAGAAATAGTTTGGAGCGGTAATGATGCGAACCTTGTGTCTGGGCAGTACGTGGAGTGCCCTGTGGGCACGATCCGTGGGCGGGGTGTGCCGATATGGGCAAGGGGGGTGACATGCGAACCTTGTCTCCCTGGGGCAACAGGTGGAGCTCCCTGTGTGCCGCAATCCGTGTGAGGAGTGTGCCGAGTTCGTGGAGGAGGAACCAGGAAGACGAGGAGCGGGCGGCGTGAGTGATGAGACGCGCAGCGCAGCGGAGAGAAGACGCGGTTGGGGAAAACATTGGAGGGAGGAGGGAGCGGGATGGAGGAGGAGGAGGAGGAGGAGGAGGAGGAGGAGGAGGAGGAGGAGGAGGGACGCGCGGCGCAGCGGAGAGAAAGTGGGGATCCGGCAGCACTGGAGGGTTGGGGAAACGTGCGTGCACGTCTGTGCACGTGCGCGTGTGCATGAAAATCGTAGGTGCCAGCCCCCCCCTCTCCGACAGGACGGGGTCATCCCGATGCAGCCCGCGTGCAGCCTGAGGCTCGTGGACGACCCGAACCGCTGGTCGTGGCTGGTGCTGCGGCGGGGCTTCCGCGCGCCGCCGGCCGGCAACTTCATGGCCCTCTTCTCCGTCGACGCCGGAGGGCGCCACGGCAAGTTCTCGCTGCCGCGGGGTGCCTCGATCGAGCTGCCCTTGCGGTGCCTCTCCCTGGAGGGCATGGTGGGCGGCCGCTGCCTGGGCGGGCAGGCCGCCGCGGAGCGGGTCCTCTCCGAGGTGGAGCAGGCAGGCGCCTCGCGGGCGAGGGCCTTCCTGGTGCGCATCGGCCGCGGTGGGCGCGTTGAGCGCGAGGTGCAGGTGGTGGTCGAGCCGTGGCCCGCCCCCGTGGACTGCACCCTCCGCTGGTTCGGGGCCTGCGGGGCAGGCCGCGCGCGGGCAGCGACTATCCACCATCCACGGCCCTGGGGCCCCGGGCTCCTCGGGCGCGCCGCCACGTGCGCCAGGTGGCAGCTCTGCGCAGACGCCCCCCGCGCGGAGCGCGCGCATCCACGGGCTCGCGCATCCACAGGATCGCGCCCCCATGGGGGCCGCACCTTGGTGTCCAGGCCACGGGGGCATGGATGTGGATGCGCCCGTCGCTCGTGGGCAGGCGGGGAGCGGCGCGTGCCGGCCGACCTCCTGCGGGCGGGCATGGGCCCGCCGCGGCCCGGCGTCGCCCCGCCGGGCGCCGTGTACTGCAGCGACGCAGGCGTGGGCGTGAGGTGGGTCAGCGGGAGCCTGGCGCTGCAGGCTCGGGGACGCCGACGCAGGGCTCAGCGCCAACGGGGATCCAGCCAGCCCCCTCCGATCTCCTCTGGCTGACCCGCGCTGGGGGGCTGCTTCGCGGCCGGCCCAGGTTCGGGATGTGCCCCCGGCTGACCCGGGCCAGCGCCGAGGCGGGCCAGCGCGTCCCCGACAGGCGCCCTTCCCGACGGCCCCGTCGGCCTGCCCGCGCACCTTCTTCCTGGCCCTCTACGGAGACGGGCTCCGCCCGTTCGAGGACGCGCCGTCTGCGGTGATCGCGGTGGAGGCCTTCGGCCTCTTTGCCGAGCGCGTGCGGGCGACCGTCGGCCTCCGCTCCGAGGTGGCTCTGCGGGTGCCCGCCAGCGCCATCTTCGCCAGCGCCCACGGGCAGCTGGCCGCCCTGCCCCTCGCGTGCTCCGCGGCGCCCTCCCTGGCAGAGCCGCTGCGGCCCGCGGTCCTGGAGCCCGGCGGCGGCGTGAGCCTGCAGGTCGCGCTCACGCCGGCGCGCCCCGGGCTGCGGCGCTGCCTGCTGAGCCTGGCGACCCGGGGCGCCCCTGGGCCCGTGGCCGCGGCGCGACACCAGGCCGAGCCGCCTCCCTGGCAGCTGCTGGCCGCGATCGTGCTGGAGGCGGAGGTGGAGGCCCCCGCCGTTCAGTCGGCGCACGAGGTGGTGCTCCCGAGGCCCGGCGCCGAGTTCCGGCGCGAGCTGGAGTTCTGGAGCCCGGGCGCGGAGGAGAGGCTCTTCCGCGTGAGGTCCTCCGATCCGGACGCCTGCCGCCTGCTCACCCCGGAGGTCCTCCTCCCGGGCTCCAAGGCCAGCCGCGTGGAGCTGCAGTGCGGCCCGCTGGAGGCCGGCTGCTCGGCGGACGCGCGGGGCTCAGATCGCCAGCTGGGCCCGTGCCTGAGAAGGCCAGTGCGGAGTCGACGCAGGGCTTTTGCCCAGAGGCGCGCACGCGCCAGGTGAGAGACGCAGGAAGACGGGGTCGTCTTCAACGACAACGATGGCGCGCAAGCTGCCCGCGCCAGGTCGCGCGTGATGCCCCTCTGCTCCCAATGTTCCGATGTGGCGCGCCGCGCTGGCGGCCCGCGCAAGCTGCCGCGCAGGGTCACTGTGCCATCTCGCGCAAGACCCGTTTCCTCTCGTCGCTCCGCTGGGGCTGAGCGGTTGCGGGCGGGCCAGGTTTGGGGGCCCCCGCCGTGCTCCGCCTGGGATCATTACCTGTGTGCCGGGTGCTTGTGGCCCGAGCTGCTCGCAGGCGCAGTGACGAGGCCACGTGGTTTCTTTGGGAACATGTGTGTGTGTGTGTGAGTGTACAGTCGGGGCCCTGAAGAAGGAACCCTTTTCGTTGGGGAGGGGCTCCGCGTTCCTGAAGTGTTTTACAGCTTGCCTCAGGCTTTCCTTCTGTTTTCGACAGGAAATCGAAGGTTAACTCATGGAAAAAAGGGGCCTCGCTCCTTATTTCGGGCTCCTCAGGTCAACGCCCCGACTGTACAGAGGGAGAGAGAGAGAGAGAGAGACAGCGAGAGGCAGCGAGAGGCAGAGGTCGAGGGAGGCACCGGTGCACGCGGGAGTCCGCGCGTGTCCGCGGGGGGTACAAGCGCCCCGCGCGCCACGAGCTGCAGCTTCGGGCCAGGGCGCGGCCCGACGAGACGGGATCCCTGGGCGCTCCTGGCGTGGGACCACCAGAGGACGAGCGATATAGAGAGAGAGAGATAGGAAAAAAAAAAAAAAAAACAACAAAAAAAAAAAAATCAAACAAAAAAAAACGGGAGAGAGGGAGAGGGAGAGAGAGAGAGAGAGAGATGGGGCGAGAGACCGACACAGACAGACAAACAGACAGACGGACAGACAGACAGACAGACAGGCAGGCAGGCAGGCAGGCAGACAGACAGGCAGGCAGACAGACAGGCAGACAGAGAGAGAGAGAGACTGGCTCGAACAATGGGCATCGTCCGTGCCTTCCACTCTCTCCCTCTCCCTTCCTCTCTCCCTTCCTCTCTCCCTTCTTCCTCTGCTTCTACTGCTCCTCCTGGTCCTTCTGGGCCACCTCCCTGAACTCGAGGTGGGACTTCACCTCCTGCCCCCATCTCCAAAGTGTCCCAAAACTACAAGCTGGAGGGCTTGCGCACCGGCTCTGGCATGAAATCCCCATCGTCTTTAAATGCCCGGCGTCGTGAAGACGGCAACACGTAGTGAAAAACCAACCAGAGTTATTCTGCGGTATTTCTCTAGTTGGATCGAGATGTAAGGGCCCTGGAGCCCGAAACTGGGCAAAGTCAAATGTTTTGGTTCGCTACTCCCGGCCATCCCGAGACCTCCGACGTGATGATTTCTTCCAATCCGCGCACCCCAGAGTTATCGACCACTTCACCCTGAGGCACTCTTTCCCCGCCTGCTATTTCCTTACCTGCCCAGGGTCGCTGCAACGGCCCCTGCAGGCCGAAATCGAAGGAGAACGCAGGGACTCGTCGGAGCTCTGGGCCAGCGCCCCCCTCAAAAACCTACCCCTCCACGCTCTTCCCCCTCGCTCCTCGCTCCTCGCTCCTCCTCCTCCTCGCTCCTCCTCCTCCTCGCTCCTCCTCCTCCTCGCTCCTCCTCGCCCTCCTCCTCCTCCTCCTCCTCCTCCTCCTCCTCCTCCTCGCTCCTCCTCTTCCTCCTCGCTCCTCCTCCTCGCTCCTCCTCCTCCTCCCTCCTCCTCCTCTCCTCTTCCTCCTCCTCCTCCTCCTCCTCCTCCTCCTTCTCCTCTTCCTCGCTCCTCCTCGCCTCCTCCTCCTCCTCCTCCTCCTCCTCCTCCTCCTCCTCCTCCTCCTCCTGCGCTTTCACCTCGCCTGGGGTGTTCTGGCCCGAGTTTTGAGGGGAACCCGGCCGCGGCGACGAGAAGCTCCCCCCCTGCTTCCGTGGCATCGCTCGGACGTGTGCATTTTCTTCTCGGCGAGGACCATCGAAGAGCAGCTTGGATCATCTTGCGAAGAAAAACACGCACGAAACCGAGAAACGCACGAGGAATGGACGTCCGAGCGATGGCGAGCTTCGGAGAGCCCCCGAAGTGCCGCCGCAAAGGCTCCCAAAAGGCTCGATCTCGAGCCTCGGTCCCATCCGAGCCGTGGAGTCCTCGAACCTGTCAGACCCAGCGTCGATGCCTCCCGGGGGGCTGCTCAGCGGGCGCCGCGAGGGCCGCAGGAAAGCGGGAGCAGGGAGAAGAGAGGGAGGAGAGCAAAAGTCAGAGGAGGAAAAGGTACCCCCATACCTATACCCTCCCCTCGTTGTTCCCTTTTTGGGCCTCCTGGGCCTCCGTCGTCGCCACCGCTGGATTCGCCTGGAAATCCCAGTCAGAACGCACCCCAGGAGAGGTCTGGGGAGTAGCGGTATCGGTACCTTTTGGTTTTCTTGGTGGGGGAGGATAACAAAAGACAAGAAACGAGTTGGGTCAAAAGAAGCAAACGAGTTGGATCCGCAAGCCATTGCGGTGCCATCGCTCCTGGGCAGTACCGTGTGGTCCGCTCCAGCGGCAGCGTCCGTGTGGCTGAGTCGGCACTTGCTCGGGATGCTGCACGGCCTCCTCGCCAAGGATGTTGCGGGCCCCTGTCGCTGACTTCGTCGTCGTTCTGCCGCGATCTCCGTCGCACGAATCAAGTGTGCCCCTCATGCCGCGGGCACGCCAACCGCCCTGCTGATGAGCAGGAGGCGGACGCACGGTACGCACGAGACTGGGCTCGGAAGAGAGTCCTCTTTTGCAACCTCTCGAGCCCAAGTGCTTGAGAGAGGAGGAAGGGGGAGAAAGAGGAGGAGCAGGAGGAAGATTAGGAGGAGGGGGAGGGGAAGAAGGATGAGGAAAAGGAGGGCTGGGGGAGGAGGGGGAGGAGACGGAGGGAGACGGATGAGGAAGAGGCGAGGAAGGATGATGAGGAAGGAGGACGACGACGAGCACCACGGCGTCTGTGCGCCCCCCCGCAGGGAACGCATGGGAGCGATGAAATGAGACATTGACTTTTTGTTCGAGACATGCCTAGAGGAGTGGCCCAGAACATGTAAAGCAATCGTTGTCCAGCACGCGTTCGTACTGTACATATTGTTGCTGATAGCTAGACGCTGCACGACATTGTTGGGTGCGGGGCGAACCATGAGGATCAGAGACATGGCCTTGTGCAGATCGCCTCGACTAATTTGTCTCAGACCCTACTCGCGATGAATTGGGTATCCTGGGGGACAGCAGGCGATCCAATGATCAGGTGTCCAAAGTATGTGAACAGAGAAGCGGGCGTCTTAGCAAATTGGGCCATGGACGGGGATACACAGGCGGGACAAGAGTCTCTTCACTTTGTCATGATGATGATGGTGGTGATGAGGATGATGATGGAGATGATGCTGATGATGATGCTGATGATGATATCTCCTATCCCTCTACAGATTTCTACCATGACATGATGACTGCGTCATTGGGCGGAGTAGCTTCCGATCCGCGTAATGCTCATCACTCTGTTACCCCACAGCCAGAGTGGAAGCTACTCCGCTCCAAAACCCTACGAGTTGTCGAGCGGGATGCGCCCACGCGTGGAGCAGTTTGAGCATTACTGCTCCGAACTACTCCGCGCTGATGCGCTTATTGGCGAAGGCAGATTGAGAGAAACTTTCGCCACGGTGATGTACAGTGGGGGCGCGTGCCAAGAAATCAGTTGGATTCTGCCAGGGTGCCCTGGGTTTCTCGGATTTCGATGGGCCTCCAATAGGATCTTGACGATGTTCGATCGACAACTCCGGATTTTCTCCGAACAACTCGCGGATTTCAGGGTTGGGTTTCTTGCGGAGGTTTCTTGTGGCCGAGCCCCTAGTGTATACCGATCCCTTCTGATGCGGCATGGAGGCATGCGGCATATTATGGTATCACATGGAAGGCGTGGAGCGAGAGCGGCATCTGCGACGAAGAAAGCATGTCCTCGCACGCTTATATGAAATACATCTGAACTCGCTGACTCCCCCATTGCGATCATGCCGGTATGTGGCATATGCCAAAGATTATACTCCGGCGGTGTAATAAACTGAGGGCCCGAGGTAGCTCAGATACTGTGCTCAGCGATGCACACACTCTGGGAGTCTGTTCGTGTCCTCGTGACCCGAAGTGTACTGGCGTGCAGTGGTGACAGAAGCTTGTCCACAAACGGACGCTGCAAGCTTATGACACTCCGCCGATCTTGTATCTTCTTGGGTCTTTTGGCCGAGACGCAGGAGCTTGCTACAGAGATGAGCATACAGTCGGGGCCCTGAAGAAGGAACCCTTTTCGTTGGGGAGGGGCTCCGCGTTCCTTAAGTGTTTCGCAGCTCGCCTCAGGTTTTCCTTAGGTTTTCGATACGAAATCAAAGTTTAACTTATGGAAAAAAAGGGGCCTCGTTCCTTATTTTGGGTTCCTTAGGTCAAGGCCCCGACTGTACATTGGTCACTCGTGTGCCCAAGCAGCTGCACACCATTGGCTCCCCCCCCGTGACCCCCCCCCCTCATCTTTCACTGGTGGTGGTACAGCGGGGGCACGACATAAGAAGACAGCCTGCCAGCAGGCGCCCCACGGAGATCTCCCCCATCTCGCAAAGGCCCCTATGGACCCACAGAAGCCTTGCAAGTACGAAAGCGCCCCCTGGATTCCTCACAGCGAGATCTTTCCTGGATTGTAACTTCTGGTTGTAACCCAGTCTCCTATGTTGAGCAGATACCTTTTTGGGGAGTGTATACAGCACGGGGCCAAGGTGTACATCTTCTTCGACGCCGAGGGCGGCGCGGTGCCACGCCAAGTGCGGCTGCTCCGGCTCTCTTGCGCGGAGGCCGAGCCCGGCTGAGAGCCAGACCGAGCCACCGTCGAAGGAGAGCGCTTCTCAACATGTTTGCGGCGGCATCTCGATGATCTCCCGCTCCTCGTCCTCTTTCCGATGCCCCGGCTCCTCCCCTCCTTCCTCCTCGGCCTCTGGGCCGTAGGTCTCGGCTCAAGACTTCCCCTTCTCCTTCTGCCTGTCTTCGGCCTCCTGGTCCAGACGGCGCCAGGGGTGCTGAGGGGGAGGGGCGAGGAGCTCCGAGCGCGAGCGTGGTCCCTCGGGATGGCTCGGGAGGCCGCCAGCTTTCGTCGACGAGAAGAAAGCGGCATAGACATAAACTTTTGGCGCTCCGCGCGGATTTCTTGGATCTGCGCTGGGGCCCCCTGGCGCGCTTCGCGCGCCAGGGAGGGGGGTCCAGCCCAGCTCCAGGAAAAACCCACGCGGATCCTCACAGCTCTGTGTCTATGCCGCTGTGTTTCTTCCTCCATCTCCCGTGGCTGGACCAGCCTCCACGGACAACGCCGCCCTGCGAGCGTGCGCCGCGTCGCCGCGCCTGCCGCGCCGCCGGGGGCCCCGCGCGCGACAGCGGCGCGCCGACCCTGCGCGGGCGGAGGCCCGGGGACGCGCGGCGGCCGCGGGCCCTGCGCGGGCGGGGGGCCGCCCCGCGCGGCGGCGGGCGGCGGCAAAGGAGCCCGCCACGGCACTGCGCGAGGAGCGGGCGCGGCAGCCCGCGGGGCGCGGCGGCGCGGCGGTGCGGCGCTCGTCGGCTGCGCCCCCCCGGCGGCGCGGCGCTCGGTCCGAGTGCCGGCCGCTGCTGGCGTTTGGCTCACAACGGCTCCTGCTCGACATATCGGGGGAGCGTAAGACCCGGGTTTGCCAGGACTCGGGTTCGCCATCGTTTTTTGACGACCGCGACTCGGATTTTGACGAGTAGGAGTTTCGTGGGATGTCTGCAGCGGGAGGCCTCGTCAAAATGCAGGCTCGGCCTCGTCATTTTTTTGACGACCTCGTCGGGGATTTCCGAGTCCCCTGTACCTGGGTCGTACGTCTCCCCGAACATAGCCGCCCAGCCAGTCAACATCATTTGAAGCAGCTCCGTGAGACGTTTTCGTTCTTCGTGCGCCCCTTCTGCGGGTCCGTGGCGGCCCGGCACTCGGAGCTGGCATCTAGTTGCGCCGCCGCCATGCTTGCCCGAGGGCTTTGACTACACAGGCAAGATGCTGGTGCACAAGTGCCGCTCTGAGCTCAAAGCCACAAGTGGAACTTCTTTCGCTCAGCCGAGTCCTACTCATCGAGGTCATACTCATTTTCGTATGCGCATGCTGCTCACAAGCACTTGATTCATTCGAAAGGCCAGGGCGCTTGCTTCATTGCGCCGCCTTGGCGTCATGAGTTCAGTCGGGCGAGCCGGAGCGTTTCGCTGAGAGAAAAGTGCCACTTGGGGCTCAGCAGGGGCTGTGGCTTTCGGGCCGCCCCCCTGGATTTTTCGGCCGCGGAGCCCATTCGTGGCCGGGGCTCCCCGTGGCCAGAAGAGCCCGGTGCGTTCCTGGTTCGGCGATCCGTGTGGCAGCACGCGGTGGCTGCACACCACCCTGGCCCTGTGATCCCTGCCAGGGACAGCGGTGGTGCAGGATGCCGCCTCCCGTGCGCAGGCCGTTCGTGGTGGGGGGGGGGCAGCGCCCTGCCGCGCCCGTGCGCACAGTGCGCCCAAGCGAAGGCGCGGCGGGGGTGGCACGGCCTGCCTTACTCCTTGGCAGCGCCGCGGCGCTTCCGCTGCCCGAGGGTCTCTGGGGCGCTTGTTAGTCAGTTCGTTTGTGCGTTCGTTCGTTAATTCGTTGGCGAGTTGGTTAGTCAGTCCGTCAGTTAATCAGTTAGCCTGTTAGCCAGTTAGTCTGTTAGAAGTTAGTTGGTTGGTTCTAGTTCGTTCGTTCGTCAGTTAGCTAGCTAGCTGAGTAGTTTGTTGGCATGCTTGTGCATTTGTTTGCTTGCTTGCTTGCTGATTTCCGTTATGGTTTAGCCACGAATGTGTTCGCCATTTTCGCTTATGTGCTTTTCGCCCGGCCCGAGGGGGCGCCCGCGGCCCCCGCCGGCGCGGAGGGGGGCGTCGGTGCTCGGGCGCTCCCACGGGAGTGAGCGCTGAGAGGGGGATGGTGGAGGAAGGGGGGGGGCGGGGGTGGAGCTTCCCGCCTCACCCTCCCTCCGTCTCCCCCTTCTCAGCGATAGCCTGTTGTGGTGTCCTCCCCCCCTCCGCCCTCCTCTCCGTCTGGCCGCCCTCCTCCCCGGTTGCACACCTTTCGCACCTTCGCCTGCACAATTCAAGCGGCAAGCCCAGGGACTTCACGCCTGCTTTTTTCGTGCTGCATTGCCGCGGGGGGGAAGCTCCCTCCCTCTCTCTCCGACCAAGTTAAGACAATGAAGCCGGACGATGCAAGCACTCTGGTGCATGTATCTTGTGAGTAGTTCTCGCGCTGTCGTTTCGTCCCTTGCGTTTTCAGCGACAAGCTGACTACTGACTGTGTAAGTGCAAAGGTATGGAAGCATTGCTCCAACACGCCCTCCTCCTTCCTCTCCTGACCGTCCTCCCTCCTTCCTCTCTCGACCCCCCCCCCTCCCGCCTGCCCCGTCCACCTCCCTCCTCCCCTCGCCCTCCCCTGTTCTCCGCTCCCCTCCTCCCTCGCCTAGTCCCCCCTCCCTTCCGCCCCTCCCCCCCTCCCTCTTCAACTCCCTCGCCCTCCTTTTCGAAATCCTCCAAAGCGGAAGTGGAACCTCAATGTCGAAACTTTTGTTGCCTCCGCTCCCTCAAGTAGTCCTCTTCCTCCGCCCCCTCCCTCCCTCCCTCCCTCCCTCCCCCCCTCCCTCCTTCCTCCCCCTCCCTCCCAGAGGATCGAGAGCCTCCCAAAACGGAGGTATGACCTCCATGTGGAGGCGCCTTCTCCCCTCCATCTTGGAGGCCCTTGTCCATCCCAGGTGCGAGGCTCGCCCTTCCAAGCGCGGGGTCTGCGATCCTCTGCCCCCCTTCCTTCTCTCGGGCTTGCCGCGAGAGCGAGCGCTCGCAGCGTCGGCACGGGACCGCGCGCCGCAGCCCCCCGACGCCGCTCCCGCCTGCGGTCTGGAGGTGGTGCTGCTGTCCTGCTGTGCTCAGATCCCTTTGAGACCACCGATGCTCTGACGATCCTCTTGACTATACTCCACTGGGCCGTAGGTCTGGGCACACAGCGGCCATGGACAGCGCAGCCGCGCGACCGGCAAGGCAGGAGGGAAGGGACGGATGGGGAACGGGCAGGATCGAGATGAGACAGAAATGGCCGAGGTGAGCACCCTTCACCAGCTTGGAACGTATCCCTATCCCTACGATTGGCATCGCCTCATCTCGATACCGATCTTAGGGATTCCCTCCGTTTCTGAGGGCGCATCCCTAAGATCGTCGTCGACTTTTGGCTTGTCAATCTCAGGGATAGGGGTACGTTCGAGGCTGGTTAACACTATTAGTTCCGCGTGCGCGCAGATTCGGCCCAGGACGCCTCCCCCGCCCCCTCCCCGCCCCCTCGAGGACGACCTCGTGCCCACGCTGCCTCGGCAGGCGGCCCCCGCCAACCAGAGCACGCGGCCGCGCGGCGGAGCCGGCGGCGCCGCCCCCGCTCCGGGGGGGGGCGCCGACGCCTGGCCCACGTCTTCGAGGACCGCAGCCCGGGGGAGGCTCGAGGCTCGAGGCTCGAGAGTCTGGGAGCGTTTGGGGGGGGGGTCAGGGAGTTCCGGCTCCTCCTCCTCCTCCTCCTCCTCCTCCTCCTCCAGCCCCCCCGCCCTGTCGTTGCCCCTCAGGTGGGCGATACCCAGGCGGTGCGGACGATGGGAGGTGAGGTTCTGGGATGTGGACCTGCCTGTGTTGTTGGATGGGGGGGGTCCGTTTTTGTGGACGGCCTTGGCTTTGACGGAGACTGCCGGTCCATCAGGTGTGCTGGGTGGGTGGCGGTCCTTGTCGATTCCGAGAGGGCATGCAGGCGTAATCGATGGTGTTGGTCCTACCTTGTTTGGGCCCCAGCAAGTTGCCCGTGACGGGGAAGACTTCGCGGTCTTGAAGATCTCGGAGCTAGTGCTCGGGCAGTATCAGGCGCTGTGTGACCGCAAAGGCACCATCATTTGTTGCACCAAGCCGTTCATGGCGCAGGCACCCTCGAATACCAGGGCTCACCTTTGCACTAGAGTTCTCTCGAGAGTGGAATTCAAGCAAAAATCTCTCTCAAGGGTCGCGCGACCCTGCGTGATGAGCAGGCATTGCCTGCTCATGGGAACCGTCTTGGGGACTCCAGAGCAGAGGAGTTCGCAGAGAAAGGTGCGCTGCAGGCCCGTGCGAGTGAAGCTGATGTGCATGCCTTGGAAGGTTACTGGGCGACGGCCAGGCAGGTTTTGAAGTATGCTGCTCGGCATACTGCGATGATAGAGTTTAGAGGAGAGGCCACCAACCCATCGAATTGTAAATCAAGGTGAACTTAGTTTGGCCTCATGAGTTCCTTGATTTCCTTGAGGCCCAGGAACCAGCCCCAGCCGAGCCCCGCCTTACTCCTCCTCCTCCTCCTCCTTCTTCTCCTCCGCCTCCTCCTCTGGCTGAGCCTCCTCCTGCTGCTCCTGCTGCTGCCTCCACTGGGGCTTCAGCTCGGGATCTGGGGTGGGTGTGGGGGGGCAGCCACGGCGAAAGAGCTGCTCAAGCAGAACCCTTGGAAGCTCCACGACCGCAGTATCTTGGCGGCCAAGGTCCCCGAAGGGGACCAGGCCCGGCCTTGTTTTTCTGGATGGCACTCTGCCGTGAGGCAGAATCAGAGAGGCCCCGAAGGGCCGTGCGCAAAAGGGCCCCGGCAAGTCGTCTGGAGCGGGCCGCGTGCACAGCCCGCAGGAGGCTACGACGACGACGACGACGACGGCGACGTGGCCCGCCCGCCCGACCGACCGACTCGCCGGCAAAGGGCGACGACGACGACGACGACGACGACGACGACGACGACGACGACGACGACGACGACGACGACGACGTT